TCGGCATTCTGTGATCACCCACTCCCACAGCCAAATAGCATGGTCCAAGACATAGCACAGGGGAGCTGAGAGAACTTTTACTGTAAATCAGTACTGAAGGTACTGTCTCCTCCGGTAACAAAGGGGAAAACTTATGCTAAGGGAAGGGTAGAGTTGGAAAAAATCTGGGAGCTAAATAAAATTATATGTTTAATTGCTGACGAAGCCATAGGAAGCCCAAGACCAGTGGTTTGCAGCAAGATGGGCAGAATTCATGGGTCAGATGTAAACCTAACCCTGGGTGGATGAGCTCAGGCCACACAGGAGCAACTGGGGCATCTGTGCTCTTGGACGAAAGCCCAGGCACGGCAGAACAGGTCCGGCCAGAGATGAGACTTACTCAGTAGCCTTTTTGTACCACTGCTGTCCACAGCTTTGCTGTCAGGCTCTGTGCCTCGCTAGTGCTCCCTACTGGTTGTGCAAGCTTCACTTCAGAGGGATCTAGACCAGGAAGACATCAAAGTCAAATCGCAGCAAGGACGGGCAGTTACTCACATGATATGAGACACCCAAGCACTGGCACTTGCCAGTCTGGTACTGCCTGTCATTTCACACTAATTGATGACACTCTAGTTCAACGCCAAGAGGCACCTGCAGCCAGCCACTTGGTAACAGGCAGTATCTCCTACATAAACAGGTTTAGCTAAGGAATGCTTGTGCACAGGGTACATAAACTAGCAGCAGTCCTAGGACTGCACTCAGAACTTTGCCCCCCAGACACCAGTGCATTTAGAAAAATGGCAAAGGTCATTCAATTTCATTGGCATCACTCAACCTTCTCAAACCAACGCAAGACAACCAGCACAGTAGGTATTATCAATGTATTTCACTGCAGTTAGTGGTTGAATGTTGAACAAGCATTAACATTTGCCACAGTGAACACTAGACAAGTTGCCATCCCCAGTGGAGCTGATGCAAGAGAAACACAGCACTTCCAACGACTTTCAGATTTCATAGTGTGTCACCACTGGTGGCTCTTTATTGGGGTCTCCTCCTCTCTCCAGATACAGGTCATTGAAGGGATATTGCTTCGGTCCCTACAAGCAGAGAAAAAGGGTGGCAAATTCACCAAGCAACTTAAGAGGTCAGGGGAAAATGTCTCATCTCGTTCCACCCCCACTCAAATCAAGGCTTGTCATTTACAACTAAAATTTCTATTTCTTAAGTGCTTCAGCAGGTATAGCAGAGTACAAGGAAAGTAAATTCAGAGACAGGGGAGTTTTTTGTACAAACCCATGTCCTTTAACAGAAACATCAAGGTGCCCTTGCATTTAATCTTGACAGCAGTTCAGCTCACAGCATAAGGACAATATACTGCAAAAGCTGTTTGTGTATTCAGATTTATTTTTCAGAAGCACAGTCCAAATTGCCCAAATAATGAGATATATCTAAAAACACAGGGCAAAAGAAAAGATAAAGTATCTCCTTTGTGCAGATGCACCCAGGGGAGGAGAACACTCAGACCAAAGAAGAGATCCTATAAGAAGAATAACTTAAAATTAGTTCCCTGTGAACAGGAACTGCTCACTGTGAAACAGAACCCTCGAGCTGAGCTAAGTCAAGCCAGTCAACAGAACAACTCAGGCTGCGTGAGGCCACAGGACATCCCTTGGCCCAGCCCCTGCCAGCAGCAGGGTTTTGCACTCACACATCACTCAGCTTCAGCAAAACCACTTTTCTGGGCATCACTGGCAACAAGAAACACAGCTACTTTTTTTTTCCCCTTTACCCAATGGTGTCACTCACCACAGGCCTGTAAAACGGATACATTCCTCCAAGACCAAACATGATCAGCATGGTGCCCAAAAAGATAAGGAAGTGATTGCGCATGGTGTGCCAGGGAACTGGAGTGGGGCTTGTATCAACACGGTTCCGAATATACATGTCGAAGTCCCAGTGCATCTGAGGAACAAAGGAAAATCACAGCACGTTTACCAGCAGTACTCAAGCTGCTTCTATCAAGGGAAGAAATGCTCTGCAGCATTCACAAAACTGCCACAAGCTGCTTCACCTCCACCTCATGTGTGGAGATGAAGCAACAGAGGAGATGTCATTTACCTACAGTCACAGCAAGGTGTCACTTACAGTAAAACTCAGGACTTCAAATTGCATCCTATGCACGTACAAGGCAATATGCTTAATTATAGGACAGTGTCCTGGTTTAGTGGGATTTTAAAGTCAGTTTTCTGCTGAGGAAAACTGCAATTTCTCTTTCATGAGAACGAAGTTGGTACAAACTTTGTTATAGGTTTCAGCTAATACTGGTATGCAAGTTGCCATAGTGCTCAAGGTCTGTTTATCTGAGATAAACAGATGCAAAGGCTGGGGGGAGCGGAAACCTAGAGGAGTCAGCCCCAAGGAGACTCCAGGTTAACCAGTTAATACTACTCATACTGTAAATGACACATTCACTATAAATTGGGGAGTTTTCTGGGAACTGCCCTTCTTCCTTCTTCCTCCTTCTTCTCTTCTTCTCCCTTCTGCTCCCTCTTCCGTGGCTGATACCTCGAGAGGGACTTGTTTACCATCCTAACCCTGAGGCCTACTCCCTCACAATACTAGCTGAGTATAACTCTGTGTATTTTATAACTGTTATTAATATTAGTTTATTATTTTTATTACTTTATTAAATATAGTTCTATTTCAACCCATGAATCTCCTTTCCTTTTCCTGACCCCACTCCCTGGGTGAGGAGGAGGCATCGGGTGATAGAGTAACTGTATAAACCACAACAGATAGCAACAGCTTTTATTTACAGACATAATCACTCCACCTTAGATTTGTTCTTTGAAAAGGCATGGTATAAACAGGTACCCTCACTTATGGAGGTTTAGAAACAGAAGCAGTGGTGTTATTTCAAACAAAGCAGCAACTACCTGTCACTTGGAAGCTGGTTCCTCAACAGGTAGAGCACCTGCCACTGTGACTCCATGACAAGAGCAGGGCTGGTAGCAAGCTAATGCCCACTGAAGCAGAGGGCATTTAAGCTTCTGCCTTGACATAGACAGAGGGAAGTCTCAGGCATGTTCTGCCTAGAGTCTCCTTTCATATTAATAAAAGCAGAGAGTTCATTAACTGGCAGCCCAAACACTGCCTACAGCTCCCCAGCTTTCTCCTTTGTACACAAGGCCGTTTGCTGTCAAACCCAGAGATCCAGACTGAGCAGAATGCCACTGCCTAAGCAGAGGCATCTGCTGACACCCAGGATGCACCAGTATATTCCACTCGGCCTACTGCTGTCAATCCCATGTGCAAGGGTATCCAGACCACATAGACAGAGGGAAGTCTCAGGCATGTTCTGCCTAGAGTCTCCTTTCATATTAATAAAAGCAGAGAGTTCATTAACTGGCAGCCCAAACACTGCCTACAGCTCCCCAGCTTTCTCCTTTGTACACAAGGCCGTTTGCTGTCAAACCCAGAGATCCAGACTGAGCAGAATGCCACTGCCTAAGCAGAGGCATCTGCTGACACCCAGAATGCACCAGTATATTCCAGACCAGCCTTCCTGTATCAAGCACCACAACACCACAGAATCACCATGGGTTTTTCATGTGCTTCTACAGTCGTTACAATGTGCACTTTAAGCTTTGCCACGGTACACATGCTACGATGCTGTTGCATGTTCACACTATGATACATTACAAACACATGCTTAGATAATCTCCACTTTTAGTAAGGAGAGCTCAAGTCAATTACCAAGTTCAGTAACCACAGTGATTCACAGAAAGCCCATGCACTAACTGAAAAGCTCTCTCTGTCGAGGAGTTTGAGGAACTTAGATTCTGAAAGTTAACACAGGTGCTCTGTTCATCCATTTCCCTTAAGAATACCTGCAAGCTTTCTTCAGAGAAAACCTCTTTATTTGTATTCTATCCCAAAACAACCCTGGAGTAATAAAGCAGCAATAGCTTCTTCCATTGCACTGAAAGGACTTTACTCGTTTAGCTTCTTTGCTAAATGATCCTGAACGAAGCTCTCTACTGAGTCAGATCAGGCAAAGAAAATATATGAGACTTCCCTATTCCTACAGAGAAATTTAAGTTTGTAAATTCTCCCTCCTCATATGTAACAAGGTGTTAAACATTCCTCGGCACTTCCAAAATATTTACCCCGATGGCCACAGCCTAAGTTCCCCTCCAACCGACTGTCCCAGCTTGCACAGGGAACACATATCTGCACTTGGCAATGCAATTACACAAAGAATTAAACAGAAAGCGCTATCAAGATGTGCATGTTAGTAACAGGAGCATTGTAATTATAATGAAAAGCACTACTAGCATTCCTACCGGCTCTCCCCAGTTATGTCTCATGTCTGGCTGGTCCCACTGGTACCAGGGGTCTCTCTCATGAAAAGACTTATCAGGGAGCTTTGGATAGTCACCATACCTGTCAGAAACAGACCAAAAAAACCCCTGAACATAAAGAAATCTGTATTAATTTAGATGCATTTTACAGGAGGCACTATAGGATAGGCTTATGGACATAGAAGACACAGACATTATTTCATTTTTATAGCTCCAACGTATGCAATTTTTTTTAAATGCACACATGTGACTAGCACAACAATCATCACCTCGATACCAGTCATTGTAACAAACAGCATTCCTCAAAGTGGCCTTTTTGGGCTATACTAACTAAAAGATAATGCAAGCTTAGCTGAAATACAGAACCCTAGTTGCCCAGCATTCTGCACATGTCAAATTATTTCCCAGCATTCAAACATCTCCTGAAATCTTTACCCCAGGGATGGTTTTCCATTCATCCCTCTTAGCCATATGAAGTCTTTCATACAGTATTTTATTCACATCGCCCTCCAACTCATACCATTTATTCCTGCTTTAAAACACTGATGTGTGCCTTCTAAGCTCATGGCACAGCATCTCCAGGCATTCAGTAGAGACCACCAGCCTGCAGCATCCCCCTCACAAAGCCAGAAGCTGCTGGCCTTGGCCTCCTCCCCGGCCGCAGGGGCACGGGATCCCCTGAGCTCACCCAAAGCCTTCATCGGGGTAGGGTTCATAGTCTTCCACCCGCATGTTGTACTTCTTCGCGGCAGCTGCCCGCTCCTCCGGCGTCCGGGGATACGGCCCGGGCAACAGGTCCTTGGACATCTCCGAGGCTGGCAGGACAGCAACAAGGCAGGGGTAAGCTCCGGCCCCGCAAGCAACCGCAGCTGCAGCCT